AAAGGGCAGGGGTTTCCCCATCCTTCGCCATAATGGTCCCCCTCCTCAGGGGAATCTCAATTGCTCAACAGCCCTCTTAAAATTTAATATCCAGAACACAGTGTTTGGAGCTTGGCATGCCCTTGGTGCTTCATAAATTTGTATTGAATGAATGAATGACTGTAGTAATTCACAATCACATGATATACCAGAACTATTCTCCCCCTTTCTCTATGCATTGTACTTTTATTAATACAGCCTGAGCTTACATTAGCTTGCCCATGAGGCATTCCCTGTTGGCTTGTGGGTGAGGAGTGCTCCCTGGGGAGATAAGGCTACAGAACCCATTGACTTATGCCCACTCCCCTCCGTGGTTCTAATAAAGAATTGGGCAGCATAACAGAGAAGGTGAAATGAGAAAACAAGTGCTCCAGTCATGCAGAAAAAGAAGCTTGTCAGTGACAGACTCAAAATGTCCTGCTTCCCTTCATAAATCTGGACTATGGATTATCAAGTGTAATCATTAGCACTATCCAACAAATATTTCTGATTCTCTCCCCAGGTACAAGGTAGATATGCACTTCCCTGCTCCCCTTGAAGTCAGACGTAGTCCCTTGACTCCCTTTAGTCAATGAAATGTGAGTGGAAGAGCCAGTGCACAATTCACCAAGCTCCGTTTTGCTTGCCTTTTGTGAAAGCAGAGAAATGAAGTAAAGATACTCCCTCAGTAAAGATGCCCTCAATTGACCTGTGATGGACATGAAGCGAAAGTGAGAAATCAGCCTTTGTTCTTCTGAATCACTGAGATTTGTTTGTTTTGCCACAGCAGCCCCTAGCCTACCCTGCTTGACTCTGTGTTGCTGACAGGGGAGGAAGAACACTCGGTGCCCCTGCCTTCTGGCCCCATCACATCATAGCTTTCACATTATTTCTCTTCTCCGCGCCTCTAATCTGTAAAATGGGAAAGCATCTTTTGGTGGGCACATACCAGTTATTCCAAGCAGCTCAGGTGAGTTCTACCTGCCGACAGTGGTGGAGATTTACCTGTTCACACCAACAATGCCTCAAGAGAAGTCACCATGGAGATGGGCTTTAAAAAAATTTTTTTTTCTTCTCACAGATGAAAGAACTCAGTATTATTTGACTAAAATCTACCTAAGATTGTCACTGTAGCTCAGAGAATAACAGGTGTCTAGAGGACACGTAAAGGTGAAGAGAAGAACCTGAGAGTGATTTGGGAGGGATGGAGACAGCAAGTCATCTAAAATCAGCGGTTCTCAAACCACCTGATCAAAAATCACCTGGAAATTTTGTTAAAACACAGATTACTGGGCCCAGAGTCTCTGAGTCAGTACGTCTGGGGCCTGAGAATTTGCGTTCCCTATAAGTTCCCAGTTGATGCTGATCCAGAAACACATGCTTTGAGAACTACTGCTCCAGAAGGATTAGCTCTAAGAAACTTGGGTGATGGCTCTGGCAAGGAATCGTCAATGTAGTTACAACTCTCCAGCATCTGGCCTTCACAGATCCTCTTGGGAGGAGAAGAAGAGAGCCAGTTTTCTTTTTCCACCAAAGACATTAGTGTGAGAGGTGACGTGAAGGGACACCCTATGGTCATCCCACCCTTTTTTCCTCACCACATAACAAACTACACAACTTTAAAAATTAAGATCCTCTAAGGGAACAAAACAGGAATCTCGTTCATTTGCATACTTAAAAAAATGGTTTCTGTGAGGGGAAATCATACCTCATCCTCCAGAGCTTCCCCAAGGAGGTAAATCTGGGTGTATTTCAGGAGGAAGCACATTAGGTAATTGGCTGCAGCCTCCCTCTCCAAATTTGCCTCCACACACCCCCTTGATAAACCTCCACTACAACTCAGTCTTCTTGCCCTTTGACCCCACCAAGGCTGGGCACACTCAGCTGTAAACACCCCTTTATCTAAATCCTCCCTCTCCCTCCAGTTTAGGGCCGCTCTTCAAGAAACCCTTCCCATTCTCTCATCCCAACTGCAGTCGATCAATCACCAAGACCTGTCAGTTTTACCTCTCAGGTATCTCCAGAATCCATCCAGTGCTCTTCATGTCCCACTCTAAAGAAACTGGTGTGGATCCCCCAGGCTTATCCTCTAGGTCTTTGCCCAGGGTATTCGCCTGGATTGGACAGATGTCTTTTTAAACCACATCCCTTCCCAGGATGGGGAGGCGTTCCATGGTCCCTCAGCCAGGTTGGAGTCCTCTTCATCAACTCCCACTGACCATGTGTTTCCTCTATCATGGATGTTTCTTATTTCTGATATCTTGTTTCATCATCTATCTTCCCTACTCAAACCGTGAGCTCCTCACCACCAGGACCACGTCTGTCTGGCTTGCTGCTGGACCTGTAAAGTCCAACATAGCCCCAGACACAATGTAGGCACTTACTAGATATTTAATGAATAAATGCAGGAATGATCCCAGCATAGGGATATATAGTTCACAGGAATCCTCCCTTCCTCTCAATGCCTAAAGCACATTCTGCCTGTTGCAAAGAATGTCTGGTCACCCAGTGCCATCCGCCACCTGAGACAAGTAGGTACCCCCATGACATCCAGGAAATGGGCTCTAGAGAGAAAAAGTGACCCTTGAAAAGAAGGAACATCTTTTCCTTGGGAACTGGATGCAACTGAGATTAATTACAGAGATATTTTGGTAGGAGAAAAAGAGGCTACCTTCCCAGAATTGGTCAGGGGACAAAGTCTTCTGTTAAGAAGGAGAAGAAAAGGAAGTATATTTGACAGTGTTTAGTCATGGGAAGTCCGCATTTTCTAGTGGCTCCTACTGAAGTTGGTAACTTCCAAAGCTAAGGGTTCTAATGGATCTCCATCTAGACCTTAATAATGACAGGTTCCCATGTCTCCGGGATGCCTAAGAGCCTAATGAAGAGGACTGAACTCAATGAGTTCCTCCAGTTCCTCCCAAGAGCTTCTGACCTTCAGGATTCTATAAACACATTCAATCTGAGCTGGAATTTGGTGAATCCACATTCTTGCTCTGTTTTGGTGTGTTTTTTTGTTTGTTTGTTTGAAGACAGAGTTGTGCTCTGTTACCCAGGCTAGAGTGCCGTGGCATCAGCCTAACTCACAGCAACCTCAAACTCCTAGGTTCAAGTAATCCTCCTGCCTCAGCCTCCCAAGCAACTAGGACTACAGGCATGCACCACCATGCCTGGCTAATTTTTCTATTTTTAGTAGAGTCGGGGTCTCATTCTTGCTCAGGCTGGTCTCAAACTCCTGACCTCAAGCAATCCTCCCACCTCAGCCTCCCACCTCCCAGAGTGCTAGGATTACAGGTATGAGTCACCATGCCCAGCCTCCTGCTGCTCTGTCTTGACACAGCTCTTTTTCAATCTGACAGACAAGACAATCTTTACCTTCCACTAACTCTTTCTCTACTATTAATAATATTACTGCTTCCAAAGTCAGATCCCCAACTCCAGACTCTGGCAGTCATGTCCCATGAACCACTAGCATCAAAACAACTTAGCATGCTGCCTCTGACTATGGCAGGGGCTGGACTGGACAGACCTTGAAGCCGAGCTCCCCTGGGATGTCTCCCCTGGCTCTCTGCTTCTGGTCATGTGACTTTGGGCAAGGGACTGTACTTCTTTGAGTCTCAGTTTCTTCATCTCTAAAATGGTGATGATGGTCTACCTCTCAGAATTATTGTATCAAATGAGATATGAATGGAAAGCCTCTGGCACAGAGCAAACACACAAGGAATGTCAGTTTTTACTATCATTATAGATTTCCAGTTTTAAAAGTTCTGTAGGATAATGATTCTAAGCTGAAAAATGCTATAGAGGTGTAATGATATTATGTTTGGAATCTGCCTCAAAATAATCCAGGGGATGAGGGGGAGGGTATAAATGGAATAAAATTAGCCATGTTTTAGAAATAGCTGAAGATAGGCAATGAGTACACTGAATTTATACACAACTCTTTCTACATTTGTGTATGTTTAAACTTTCCATAGTGAAAAGTTTAAAGGTATAAGTACAGAGGGAGGGAAATGCTGTAAAAATATAAATCCCAGTATTTTAAGATCATTATTTGGTCCAAGTAACTAAACAGATGAAGAATGATTTGAAGAAGGAAAAAATACTTAAAGCTAACATCCCTTTATTAGCTTTCTCCCAAAATATTTTCTTCAAACAAAACTCTCGCAGATGAGCAGGAGGCGACAGAGACACTTGTACACATTTCTTGGAAAAGCATATTTCCTACTTGGGCTGTATATGTATTTTTAGGCAGACAAGCCCTGGGTGGTAGAACCCGCCTCTGGGTACCCAAGAGACCCTGCTGAAACTGAGCTGAGAAGGAGGAAAGTGCCCAAGTTAGGAAAAGAGAACAGAAATAACTCAGATTGTTCAGGGATGATGGGTATTACCAGCTCTCCTCTCCTCTAAGCCCTGGCTTTGGACTCTTATTTGAGGCTTCCCTGGAAGGCTGGTTCAGCTCAGTCTGAAGCTATATATGTGTGTGTTTGTGTATGTGTGTGTGTGTGTGTGTGTGTGTGTATTTTTTTAAGTGATGGGGTCTTGTTAGCCTTGAACTCCTGGGCTCAATCCATCCTTCCACCTCAGCCTCCCAAGTAGCTGGGACTCCAGGCATGCACCATCTTTCCCAGCTTATCTGAAGAAGCTGCATTTTCATCCACATGAGTGGGTCCTCTCAGAGCACAGCCAGTGTGTTAGAGGATGCATCAAAGGAAAAGATTCATTCAGGGAATAGGAAACTTTTAAGAGACTCTGACAATTCCCACCACAGTACATCCCTACATCATCTCCCCTCTTCCACATGTTCCCACTGAGAGGAGTCTGGAGAAGGGAAAATAAAATTCTTCTTGCATTTCACTTTGAAGCCACCAACTCACTCCAAGGTCCTCTGAGAGAAAAAAACAGTCCAGCAGGTTTTGTTTTGAGCAAATGACTTTAAGCTCCCAAACTCTGCCTAGATAAGGAGAATATATAAAAATACTTACTCTTCTTGAAGAATGAATTCGTTGTTTTCTGGAGAAAACTGCCCGGTCACAGGATGCCTGAATGCTGTGGTCTGCTGGTTATGGCTAAAGAGAAAGAGAGATGATGAATGAGAAGTCACATAAATGGAAAGAGTACAGACACAACAGGGCAGCAATGTCTGGGGACCCTTGTCACCGAAGGTTCCTCACAGATTGAGAAAGAAGGTGGGCCTTTCCTCTGAGACACACTTAATCTGTCAGAACCCTACCACACTGAAAAGCCAAGAATTTCCAGCTCAGGTGCCAAAGCCCACCTAAGAGGCAGAGATTTTAATTTTAAGGAAGTCTTGGCCCCAAGAGAACAATGCATCTTGGAGAGACATTCCATGAAGTACTTACTCCAACAACCTGAAATGTTAAACAAAAGTTACTTTAAGACAGCACGAGCTACAACAAGAATGAAGGAAATCAGACACTTTCGACAGCTTCTCAAAACTATGAGCCAGTGAAAGAATTCTAAGAATTAACCACCTACCCAGAAAATTTTATTCTTAAAATTCTTCTCCCTACTACAAAATGTCTTCACTTCCATGATGGGATATAAATACATGGGCATGTCGCTGCAACATGACCGGCACAATTTCAACACCGTAAAGTTTCTATTGCCCTTTTGAAGTGAGGAGGGATCCACTTCCATGCCAAGCTGACAGACGCAACCAAAGTGTGTAGGTGTTTTGTGCACTGACAAAAGTTGCCTGGTTCTTTGAAAAGGAGGAGGAGCTGGCCCTAGTGCCTGCTGGTTTCCTCCACAAATAAACAAATCTTTTTATTATAAAAGAATATGATTTATTAAAAATTTCTTCAAAATCATAGTCATTTTAGACATTTTAGAAAATATAGAAAGAAAAAAATCACTCATGACCTCACCATGTAGAGATATACCTGGTATTTTCTCCTTCCAAGTTTTATCCCTCTATCTAAAAAGACAATTGTGACTTTACTGTAGATAAAAATCTATGTCCTGCTTTTCCACATTCTATTAACATAGAAAATGTCCTATGTCATCAAGACTTCTTCATTTAAAATAGCTGAATAATAGTCTTATCATATGGATGTAAGTTTTTTTTCATATAATTGTTCAAAATATGTCTACTAGGCACCCATGTGCTAGGTACTGCTTTAGGTGGTAGAGATACAAAGTGAATAAAAAAAGTCTTTACTTAATTGTGCTTATATTCTATAAAGATTTACATTTCTCTAATGCAGGTGCCCCCTGCCCACTATTATAATCAATATATCTTTGGAGTATAGGCTTTTTCTGCAATTCAAATTATTTCCTTGGGTTAAAGTCCCAGAGGCAAAATTACTGAATCAAAGGGCATGATCATTTTTTAAGGTTCCTAACACAAACAGTTAAAATGCTTTCACTATCAGAGTCAATAGATCATCTCGGTTTGGTAATGTTAAGATAGCCCCATCTCCAAACTGAGCACTGAGCCTCCCTGGAGAGGTCTAAATTGGCATAGCACAAAGGTTAAAAAACAAAAACTCTCTAAGCTTACAAAGTTTTTTCTTACTCTGCCCAAGCCCTGGTCAGGGCCTCCTGTGCCTGGTGTCTGGGGTAGGCTGGGCACTGAGGGTTAGAGCAGCCTGAATCCTAACAAGCCAAAGGTGAAGAAGCAGGCAGAGCTATCAGGCCGGGCTGCTCCCTGGCCATACAACTGTGCACCACCCCACCACACCCTCACCCTTCCCAACCACAGCCAGCCTCTGAAATCACAGCTCCTGGTCCCAGGCAAGCATGTGGAATCCTATGACCTCATCTGGCAGGCAGGCAGCAGCCTGGTCTTCCCAAAAGAGCAAAGTTTAGCCATGAGCACCTAAGACAAGGACAAAAAGCATAAAGCAGCTCTTCTTAGCACTTGTTTTAGAAATCCTTGCACCACATTCAAGAGTTAGGCTTTATTTACAACCCACCTCTTTCTAGATAGTCATCTCTACTCACCAGAGAATTTGAAAATGCAAACTCTAATTCATTTCTACCTGGACCAAAGGAAAAAAAACAAAAACAAAAATGCCCTGCTCATAATGGAATAACAATAAAGCAATAACAACAATATCCACTATTGCCTCTAAAGGGCTTTACAGTCTACAAAGCATTTTTTTACACACTGGCATATTTATACCATCAACGCCCATTTTATGAATGAGGAAACTGGGCTTGGAGAGGTTAAGTAAGACTTGCACAAGATAATTTCGTCAACAAGTGAAAAGGCTGGGACATAAATCCAGGTCTTCTATTCCTATGTTCTTTGTATGATAACCTGCTGTCCGCTTCCCTTAGCAGTCTGTGGGCTGGCAGCCTCCTGGCCATGATCAAAAAGCCCTGAAGACAAGGCATCAGGAAAATAGCACCATCTACAACCACCTACACCATCTACAACTCCCTCTCCCTCCCTCCCTCCTCCTCCTTGTGCCCAGGGCCAAAGTTCAGAATGACAACACTTGGGTGACACCCAGTAGCCCCCAAATAGCTTTTGGTCCTACCCCAAGATCAGCTGGTAGATCTCTGGCAGATGAGAGCAAAGAGACTCTCCTATGTGCCTGGAGCAGATCCAGCAGCCAGCACAACCTTAACAGCAACTCCAGGGCTCCCCACCCACAACCTGTCCCAGCTTAAATAAACCCAGAGTCTTGAGTCAATGAATCTTGCGCTGGAAAGTACAGGCACTAAGATGAACTTTACATTCCAACATTCTCAGGATATAATTTTTAAAATTCAACAACAAAAGGTGTCATTTGCTCAGATCTAGAGGCAGCTCCCCAAACTTTCTTCCCTAATACGTATGCTGCTTTCTTTGCCAAAAAAGTTTTTGGTCACAGCATCATCACCGCCATCTCCTGCATCTACACGAAGCTTTAGGTGTGCTCACATTCACATCTTACTTGCCCCTCCCAACTACCCACTGAGGAAGGCAGGGCAGATCCCCATGTTACATATAAGGAAACTGAAGTCCCAGGTTATGAGATGTGATTGGAACACTAAATTATAAAAAAAAAAAAGTACATTAAGAAAAGAGATGAACCAGAGTAATGCTTCTTGAATACTGAAGTCTTAAAATCTGATCATTTTTGATCAAACACATGCAGCTTGCTAATAGCAGAGCTTCTTGTTCAGCACTCTGACCAAAGGGACATGAGTTAGCTCCCTGGGCTATTCCTTTCAATCTTCCCAAATACCCAGTAGGGCAGGTGATATGTCATCATACCAGGCTACAAGTGAGGAAGGTGAGGCCCAAAAGGAGTAGACTATTTACCCACAACCACAGTCCACTCCTGTGTTCTGGGGCCACCACCACGCTTTTGGTCTCTTTTCACTAGCCAGGCTCACACTTACCAAGCAAGGGATGCCAATTAAACACAGGTTCCCCAAATCCATTTGGAGATCGCAAAGTCCTCTAGCCTTTTTTGCTGCTCTGACCCCTTAGTCCAAAAGTCCCCAGTCTGCTCCATTTCCTGATTCTAAAGCCCATGAAGAGGCTCATGTCCTATCACCCTGTCTCAAGAAGCATTTAGCAGGCACAGACACATCCCCTGAAATACCTGTTCTTAAACCTGAATTGCCACCTTGCTCCTTGGTAGCACAGCGATGGCCCCGCTGGGGCCAAGTGGCTGGTTTCAAGGGAGCACAAAAACTCTTCCTCACAAGGGCTCCTGTTTCTTTTCAGGATACCAACAAAGTAATTTGGCAAATGAGGTAAACATAGTCTAGCTTCATTTTCAAATCCTATTCTTCCTCCCAGAAGTAGCTCCTCAAAACTGAATGACAGCCAATCTCACCTGGGAGAGGACCAGGGAACACAGACGGAAGATGGCAGGGCAGCATGAGCCCTGTGGAGGCAGGCCACAGCGAACCATCCACATAAATAAGCACGTCTTCACAAGCCCCGGGCCCAGAAGGACTTAGGTTAGGCCCTACACATGTCTGACAGCAAACACAAAAGACTTGATAGAATAAAGTGAGGACCAGGAAGAAATCGAGACCAATTTGAGCTTGATCTAAGAAAGAGCCTAGCTACAATCACAGATAAGGCTAGTCAGAATGTAATGGGTCCTACAGTTTTTTGCAATGTTTTTGCAAGATTTTCTGTTCCTATGGGTTTTGACTATAATGTGAACGGTGACTCTGGATGGTGAAACATAAAGGTTATAATTACTTAGCACAGCAATGTTTGTGGAGTGGCAAGAAGTTCTGGAGTTGTGTGAATGACACTCAACAGTGGAGGTCAGAACACCCTGATGAACCTGGTTTTCTGACAGTGGTGGTATTGGTATGCTGAGAGTGTGACAAATCTGCTCCCTCAGCACTACCTCTTATCTGGCCCATGCTATAAAGAGGGGAAGAAAGAGCTTAAAATGTAAGGAAAGTATGCGGCCTAAAGGCCTGAGGAGGGGCTCTATCAAGGATTTTCTTATTGTTATGCTTAGCAGTATTTGCCCCTCTGAACCTTCTGGCTCCCCAGTGTGGCTCCCAGAACACTGTAAAAGAGTCACTCTGTAGGTCTGAAGCCACATTCAGCACTGCCTCCAGGCTTGTTAAGGCACTTACTATCTTTGTGTCTCAAGAAAACCAAGGATTCTGGATAACCTACGAATCCTCCTAGTTAGGTCCCCAAACTAGAAATTAAAACTCCAAGAACATAAGAAATCGTCTCCTCCTCTTCTTCAGCTCTCATTCGGGTCCAGCAACAGCAATCAGGAGTTGAAACCACGTCTCCACATTTCCTCAACATTTCTTAAGCTCCTTTTGGTTTATTTTACTTAACACTTTTATAAAACTGTTCTTTTAGTGGAAAGTGTCACCATTGTTAATGTGGCATTTCTAAGGGGATGAGATTCTTATTGAAATGGTCTTTGGAGCTTGCACTATTTTGACAATGTCAAGATTTATAACAGCTCACTGCACATGGGCATTCCTCTGACCATCATTTCTTCTAGAAGCATGGGAATCAGGACTTGTTGAGCCAATGAATTGTCCCCAACCTCTCAGCAAGTGGAAGCTATCAGTTAACACAGCACTAGTCAGCCTCCTTCAACATCAGCCC